GTCCCGCTTTGTAGGTTGTCAGTCGTCCGAGCTCATGGAGGATCCAGTTGGCAGTCATGGTGGCATAGCTCTTGAAGTTCGGTAGCATCGTATCTTGTTGGCCCGAATTTGCTGCTTGGTAATTGTTGCGAATGGCCGCCAACACGCGGTAATAGTACTGAGCACGGGCTCCGTTGTTTAATATGATGAGCGACAGGGCATCTTTTGGAGTCAGCCCGTGGTCGTTGATGAGGGCATCAAGCTCGATATCCGGCAGCACTGTCAACGAGCTTCGAAGATGCTCGACCAAATCATCTCCAACGATAAGGGGCGCGATGTCAGGATCAGGCATGTATCGGTAGTCGACTTCGCCTTCTTTGCCCCGAAGCCGGCGTGTTTCTTTTGATCCTAGAGACCATCCTCGCGTCTCGCCAGCAATCGTCCCGCCGGCTTCTAGTTCTCGAATTTGACGATCCCGTTCGGCAATAATAGCATCCTCGACAGCTTTGATGGTGCTGAGGTTTTTTATCTCAGTCCTCGTTCCCAGCGCTCGCGATGGGTCGTCCGTATTCCGAACAGACACATTCACATCTGCTCTAAGCCCCCCTGCTTCCATACCAGAAACGCATGCGTCGACAGTACTGAGAAGTAGCTGAACCTTGCGCACAAAGGCGGCAGCGGTACGCGGGTGGTGCATTTCCGGCTCCGTAATGATTTCGATGAGAGGCACCCCAACTCGGTTGAAGTCTAGCCAATGCACATTTCCCGGCTGGGCCAAAGTCTTCGCAGTGTCTTGTTCAAGCTGCATTTGTTTGATGCCCACAGTGACACTTTCCCCATCCTCGGCGGCGATGCCATCACGGGCCAGCAAAGTAACCTTACCGTTCTTTGCAAAAGGATCATAATACTGCGTGATTTGGTATCCGGAAGGTTGATCCCACCAAAAGTAATGTTTCCTGTCGAAGTGGCTAACGGGGTTGATCTCGCAGTTGAGGGCCAGCGCGGCTCTAAGAGCCGGTATCAGCGTCTCTTTCTGAAAGATCGGTTGGCTGCCTGGCATGGACACGTCAAACAATGCAACATGACTGTTCGGTTCGTCATTGAACGAAGTGATAGCGGGGGAGAAGAGCTTGCGACTTGTATTAAGCTGCGCATGGATCTCGATGCCGACGGTCAGCTCCCACCCGTCCACGGTCTGGGAATCGCTTTTTGACTTCTTCCTTCCCATTTGCTTGGCTATTTTCGCCTCTTCCTTCAGCTGTTTCCGCAGAGGCACTGTTGGTTCTACTGGCTTAGCTGCTGGCGTTGTAGATGGACTATGATATAGTGCGCGTAGCCGACTCGGTGATTGCAGAGCCACGCCGTTGCCTCCAAGACCCTGGCAACTGCTCAAGCAGCCTCGCCGGGAAAGTCTCCCTTCAAGGAGATATCTCCCTACCTCTCCAATCCGAGCTCGGCTCATTGCTGCGATAGAACAAGAGTCTGAGGAAGATGGTCGTTCAATGTTTCCGATACCGTGGATTGGCGTCTCTTGTAGCGGCTAAGTGTCTCCTGCCTGAAGCAGCGCGTGGGTGAGCGGTCGAAAGGTCTGGGAACGCTGCAGAAAGGACCAACGATCTCGGGGCTCTTTCCATGTGTGGGATTGAAGATGCAGCTATTGTGGGGCCAGACCATCCCACGAATTCCCACCCACCAACGCGACCCAGTCATCATCTACAATTCCTCCTCATTCACACCACTTCACTTCCCTTCCGACTCCCGCACGCAGACTCGATTTTCCTCCCCTCTGTCATCTGGTTGGGCTACATCTGATTGCGTCGAGTCGAGAACCCACCTCAGACTTTTGGCCCCAACATGATGCATGAGCAAAGCACGCAGCATGGCCAACGATTCCTACCAAAACACCCGTCCCCCACTTGAAGGGTTGGCCCATGCGTTATTCTCCTCCAACCACGATCATCATTGGTGAGCACTTAAAGTGAACGTGCGCGTCGGGCATCGTTGGGTATCTCCGGAAAGATATATGCCTTGGGCCTTGTCATGCCGGAGGGAACAGAGACGCCTATTCCCATTATTGTTGGGTTGTCTGATTGTTCATTGTGTCTAAGCCCAATGCCATGAACAATGAGGGCGATACTTGGTGTCTTGATAAAATCAAGCACATCAAGAACCAGGCACAGTCGTACTCCGTGTGAGACCGCAACAAAGAGCATGCGGCTGCGACTGCGTCTTCTGCCGCCATGGGGGCGTACATGGGCACCTTGATACGTTTCTGGTCCGTCAACACGTGTCATTGCCTCGTTATGCGTCACTTTCTGGCCAAAATGTAGCCTCCTTCGCCCAAGGAAACGCGCCCGCAGCCCCAGTAATATGTAGTGAGTAGATTTTAATGGTCATCAAGGTGTTCATTCTACAATTTGATGGCCTATGTTTGTAGGCATGTACTCCGTATTGCTGAACACACATGCAGGTCTTAGCGGTGCAACATCGAATTATCTTGCGGGCCTTCCTTCCCCTACCATTTCAGCTGGTTACCGGATGTTACCGTCGCCGTCGTCGCCGTCGTCGCCGTCGTCATTGCTCTTTGAACTCTTCTTTCTTTTTTTTTCCTTTCCTCTTACCCAACACCGGCTTCCTTACATGTGCACGGCACAAACCGCGAACAGAGCATAGCCTCCAAAAAGCTATCGACAAAATGACTGGCAAAAGTGATGATGGCAAGACCGCAGACAAGTCGGCCACCTCTTCCAATAGTGAGCATGGCGAGCACGACGAAGGTGCGTTTCTGACACCAGAACATGAAGCGGAAACCTCGTCAACAAAGCATGACGGCACCAAATCAGACGGGCCCCCAGAGCCTACCAAGGACGCCACAGCCCCTTGTGCCGAGGTCCAGACACCACCTCCCTTGGAGATTCTATCTCCTCGCCCGTCTCCTCATCTGGCTGGCAAAAAACTCTTTACAGCCGTCGTAGAAGACTGGGAGGAGGACGAAGAAGAAGAAGACGACTCTCACCATCATCCCGACTATACCCCACCTTCGTCATTCTGTGCTACCACATCTCCCTTGATCGAAGCTTCACTCAGTCCAGGTGTACAAGAAAAGACCGTCAAACCGGTCAAATCAGAGCCATACCTGCAAGACCACAGGGATGAGACACATCGACGGCAGGTCGAGCCCGCAGACATGCCTGTTCAACAAAGTGCCCAGCAGAACACATCGAGACGTCGACCGAGTGTTATGGACTATCTAGTCTCACATGGACCTGTCAAGTATCCAATGTCAACCTCGCGAGCAAGCAGCTCTACGTCCCGTAGAGTAGCTTCAGAGGGGCCAATCTGGCAAAACAACGACCGCCAATCGACACAATGGGGACAGTCGCACGTGCCTCCTGGCTACCAAGGGGAAGACAAGAAGCAACAGCTGGGATGGACCGCTCAACAACCTCCTTTCCGATCTGTTGACAAATCCTCGAATGTTCACGACGATCGTGGCTCAGAGGTATCACACAAAAGGGGCTTCGGTCAACCCTGGGAACAGAATGGGCCGCCTGCACCATCCTCAAACATCAGCGCATCAAACAATGAAAATCGCTCGGACACATACACAGGACAAGGATATCCTAGTCTTGCTAGCCGGCTGGACAACATGGCACCGAGCGGCTACCATCTCTTGGCGACGAAATTGTCTGGTGATTCCTGTGGCCAGACCATCTCACCGATCTATCGTCGATTTGATGCTCTGAATCACCGTCTATTATTGTACATGCAGGATGAAATTACTGATCTAGAACGCCAGCTTATCTCATTGGAGGCCAAGGATACAGTAAAGAGAAGCTATGCAGGTGGGGTCATACCTGCGTCCCAGCGTCAAGATCGCTGGATTGATAGCAGCTTAGCACACCAAAAGACTGAGATTCTCGGTCTCATTGGCTATAAATTAAGCCAATACAGTAAGCGGGTCCTGATATTTTATAAGTTCCTTATTGTGATTGAGTTTCAAAGCTGACGGTTCAATAGACCATGTCCTTGCGTCATTTTGCAAAGTCCAAGATATTCCAGCACCAACCTGGCAAGATATCGACACGTACAAATCCTATCTTGCCACCAGCAAGCTGATTGTCGATGATGAAACACGGTTTCTAGACGCCTCTCACGACCTCATATCACTCAACACCCAGAACTTACCCGTAGACGATTTGAACACCACGGCCGACGGGCCGACGCCTATACCCAAGGCAGCCGAAGAAGAACAGTTCAACAGCTATTTCAAGGACAACGCCAGCTCACCCTCTTCACGGACTGATCCAGTCGTAACAGGCAAGCCGAACGATGCGCTGTTCGTGCGACTTGCTCTTTCAGGAAGCTGCATCGTGTTTGTGCCCATCATGATCTTTTCGATCATACCCAGCTTCGTAGGCCGCATGGCAATCGTCCTTCTCGTTACGCTCAGCGTCGGCATCATGGTCGATCAATCAGGTTTGCTGCCAGAGGTCGAACGGCAGAGGGCAGACTGGATCGCGTATTTTGGACTATACTGTGGCGCTATGGCTGTGGTCGCTGGGGCAATGAATTGACTGTTCGGACTTTGGCGTGACGATTGATCTTTTTTCTGCTTTTCTCTTGTTCGCATTTGGGGTTGGAGCTGCACCACATTAGGTCATATGGAAGATTGTGTGTAATGATGGAACAAGTGGCAACATAGTCGTGTTATCATCACGTGCAATTGAGTTGTTGCGGCCTTGTGAATAACTCCTCTTAGTTTCGTCGCGTTTGCACCAGCGAACATTGCTTGGCTTCATTTTCTACTATGGCGCCGCTCGAGAAGATATATCCGGGGCGAATGGTTTAGTGGTATAATACTCCCTTAGCATGTCTACCAGGTCTGGGAGTGGTCCAGGGTTCGATTCCCTGTTCGTCCATTTTGAGTACGGCCTTGACGGTCGTTCCATTTTCTTTTTGACTTTCTGTAAAAGTAGAAGCATCTTGTAGTAATTTGTCTAGCGTGAGAGCATCTCATTGGGCGAATGGTTTAGTGGTATAATACTCCCTTAGCATTGTGTGCACAATCTTGGGAGTGGTCCAGGGTTCGATTCCCTGTTCGTCCAAACTTGCGCATCCGTCCAGATGCGCAAGTTTTTTTTTGACAGTTTGTGGGACACGACTCAGCTCTTGCGAACCATTCAATTGCAAGTAATTTTTTGGTCTAATCCATTCATTACATTTTGGAACTTCAATACGTCCGCGACTTGAATGAACGCCTTTTATTAGCATTCGATGCATTATGAAAGGTGGAATGAGATGTTGTGGTTGTTTCCTCTACAATCGTAGTGAATGGGAATCTCCAGCAAGCCTTCTTGATGAAGGGTAAGTCGTATAGGGTAGTGGCATTTATTTCCGTTTCAACCTGCCCCCCACTATTGACTGACACTCACTTGGCGGGGCACACACGGCGCAGGCTCCAGGAATTTCCGAGAGACTCGGACATTGTGACTCAAGCAATCCCATCCCACCGCCAGAACAAGGGACCATCGCCTAGAGCAACCCGCTGCCGGCACCGCATAGTCTCTTGTCCATAGAAGGATACGGCCCTTTCCCAGCATGGCGTCGCAGACGAGCAGTCCCGCAGGGGGGGATCTCGCTCACCAGATCCTCCATGCGCTGGACCAGAAATCACCCCTCCTCTCCTCCGAAGCCTTCCCCACGACCGCCTCCACCGAGGTCAAGGGGGCCCTCGACAGACTTGCCTCGCGAGACATGATCAAATACGAGACCATAGATCGCGAGGAGGCTCTTCTGGAACCCGAGGGCGAGCAGATTGCCGCCAATGGCAGCCACGAGGCTCGCGTCTTTGAGGCTCTTCGTGTTGCCGTGGAGGGCTTGACCATTCAAGAGCTCGAGAAGGCTATTGGCGATAAGAATGTGGTCAAGATTGGCCAAGGCAGAGCCTTTAGGGAGAAATGGATCTCCAAAACCCAAGGTTAGCAAGGTTTTTCTCACACAATGTGTCTTGTCGATTTACAAATAGTCCTGTGAGGGTTGTGGGTGACTGACATGACTGATGGTCGCAGATGGTAAATTCAAGGCGGCCGTGAGTTAAAACACTGCCTGTACTCTCGAGGCATTGGTGCGGCCTGGAGGAGGAGGATGATGAGAAGGAGAAGGAGGGCTAACGTGGCATTCCCGTCAATAGAAAGAATCTGTTCGAGACACGACCAAAGAGCAGATGCAGACGATTCAGTCGACGCGAACGTATCCCGATGCCAAGACGCTGGCCGACTTGAAGAAGCGCAAGCTCGTCCGGACGCAAAAGATTATCAACTTCAAGATCGAGAAGGCTGAAAAGTTTGCCCTCAAGATCCCCGAGGTCGCTACCGACTTGACCGCCGATATGATTGCTAGCGGCTCATGGAAGACTGCCAACTTCAAAGGATACAACTTCAAGGCTCTGGGTGCCGATCAGCAGTCTGGAGCTTTGCATCCTCTGAGCAAGGTTCGATCTGAGTTGAGGCAGATCTTCTTTGAAATGGGCTTCCAGGAGATGCCTACAGACAAGTAGGTTTTCATGATGTGGTGTAGCTTTCCAGGACGTCCAGCCGATTGCTAATGTGGTATCAGGTTTGTCGAATCTGGCTTCTGGAACTTTGATTCGCTTTTTGTTCCGCAACAACATCCTGCCCGTGACATGCAAGATACTGTTCGTATTCTGATATCCGATTCGTCACAATCACGAACGAGACTGATACGATTTGCAGTTTTATGTCTCGGATCCTAAAGAGGCAGACTTGCCTAGAGCCGAAGATGCTAATGACAAGGGCGACTACAAGGCTTATTGGGACAACGTCAAGGAGGTCCACCAGGTATGATTCAAATGGAAGTAGAAAACACACTGGCATGGCAAAACGTCTAATTATCAGCTTAGGACGGCAAGTATGGATCGATAGGTTACCGATACCCTTGGTCTGGAGAGGAGACCCGAAAGCTGGTACTTCGAACGCACACGACTGCCATCAGTGCGAATATGCTGTACAAGTTGGCACAACAGAAGGGTCCTGATGGTCGCCCGCCTCCGGCTCGCTATTTTTCCATTGATCGCGTATTCCGCAACGAGACGGTAGACGCCACTCACCTGGCAGAATTCCACCAGGTTGAAGGTGTCATTGCCGATTATGACCTGACCTTGGGAGGTCTCATGGAGGTAAGATATCAGAGGATGCTGCGCAGCCAGGACTACGGGAACAATGTGACTAACATTTGTTGCAGTTTATGGATATTTTCTTCGGCAAGATGGGCATCACCGATCTGAAATACAAGTGTGCCTACAACCCTTGTGAGTGGGCCTTGAGACGACTTCATGTTGGCCGTGGCGACGTTGACTAACGTTGGCAAATAGACACAGAGCCTAGCATGGAGATTTTTTCTTACCGTAAGTTGCTGCCTGTTATATGCCGTAATCAAAGGACGAAGGTGGATAATCCTCGCTAATCCATGACAGACAAGGGCCTCGGAAAGCTGGTTGAGATCGGTAACAGCGGCATGTTCCGAGCCGAGATGCTAGAATCTATGGGTCTTCCGTAAGTCACGAGAAAAAGACGGTCTCTTTGTGTACAGAATCGAGGCTGACTGTCCATGTAGCAAGGATATGCGAGTCTTCGGCTGGGGTCTGTCCCTCGAACGACCCACCATGATCAAGTACGGCATTTCCAATATTCGCGAGTTGCTGGGCCATAAGGTCGATCTGAACTTTATGCGAAACAGTCCCGCAGTGCGTCTGGACAAGGAGTGAAGTGATGAGAGGGCGATGAATGATCAAGAAGAGGAAGAACAAGATCTAGCACGAGAACGAGAACGAGAAATGTGCTTTATTTGACAGAATCGGGAGGAAGACGTCGGTAGAATGAGACGATGTGTTGGGCAGAGTGCTGGTGTTGAATACCATGAGTTGTAGAGGCGATATGATGTTTTGAAGGAAGCTCGTGTTTCTCCCGTTGCCACCCACGTGAAAAAAAAAAAGGACAGGATGCACACCTTTTGGATGGTGATGGCCCCCAATTGTCACAGAGTTCAGGGTTCACCGATTGCGGCTCTGGGGGGCGGTCAGCCTTCAGGCACGCGACCAGGCAGACCTTGGGCCGGACCTTGGCAAATGTAGAGGCAGGTCCAAACGCCCGAGAATTCGCGTGAACCTTCCTTGGCCGATCTCGATTAGCACCCGTGCGTCATTCCAGAGCCAGCTCCCCGGCGAATAGGAGAGGAGCTTTGTCCCCCCCGCGATCAAGAAGGCCTTCTCATGTCGTTGTCATGACATCATACGCCCACGTTTCAGAAAAACTGACTTTCTTATAAATGCCCAGCCTCACTGCTATTTTGCATTGCCAATCCCGTCATCATACCTACGCCTCAGCGAATGATCATCATCTCTTCGTCGCTAAACGCGTGTCTCTCTTCCACACAATCGTTTCCCATCCTAGAACAACACGTGCGCAACAGAATACAATGTCTTTTCTCACCGAACGCGTCTTCCGAGCCGCCCTGCCCCTGAGCAGAGGTGTGGCCGTCACGGCACCCCGCGCGTTCAGCACGTCGCTGGCATTGAGGAAGACACCCACGGAGAGCGTCAAGGATGGGCTGAAGACTGTCGATCGAGCTGTGACGGATCACGTTGTTCTGCCTGGTCTTGAAGCCGCTGGTGCGTGTTTTTTTTCCAACCCGATTGCCTTTTCTTGTTGCTGGTTTAAGCCAGCCATCGAAGGGTTGCGGCGTCACTGACTTTGGTTAAAAAAAAAAACAGCTACTGTGGGAAGTAAAGTCAAAGAGGGGGCCGAAAAAGTCACAAAGGGAAACAAGGGCAAGGCCAAGGGCAAGGCCAAGGCCAAGGCCGAGGAACTGAAAGGTCAAGCGCAGGGCAAGGCCGAAAAGGTAAAGGGCCAGACCAAGGGTGCGGCTGCTGAGGTTGCGGGCAAGGCAAAGGGTGCGGCTGAGGAAGTGAAGAGCCGCGTGGACGAGTCTTTGTGATGTTCTTGTCGAGATACAAGTGTTGATCTCGCACGAAGGTTTGGTGATGTGAATGTACGACGTAAGCCTGTAAAAAATACACATGCATATCTTCCCGTGTGCTGCGGGGGGGTTAAGTGGCGATATGGATTCTCTGGATAAGCAGCTTTTTCGCCATGCATTGTCATGGCAGATCACGGAGAGAAGACGGGGGAAAAAAGAAGGCTGTCCGGAGGTGACAATAGGGTAGCCAGGATCATCGATCTGCAAGCGCCACGGTCCCGCTTTTCCTGGCGACGAAGATGACGAAACCACTTGCCCTTGACACCAGCAGGACGATTTATGTGATGAAAGCCATCTTTTTTGTGATTCAGACAATCCTCCGACCATGCCATTCAGAAACCCAGCCGCCGCCGTCTGCACATCAAGCACCGCTATACTTCAACTCGCATTGCCGTACACCGCTCCAGCACTCCCCAGCGGAACGACGCACAGCTCGGTATTATTGCCCGGCTTCTTCTGCTGCTCCTATCATGAGCCCAAACCCCGAGCCGGCAGAAGCAGAGTACGATGGCTTGCCACGCATCAATCATCATCCAAACCGTCCGAGCCGCCAGACATGACGCCGCCGTGGCCGCGGGCCGCCCACCCGACCCCCTACGAGGTCCTGGGCATCCCGCGAGGCGCACCCTACGCAAAGCGCCAATTCTACCAACTCGTCAAGCTCTACCACCCCGACACGCACGACCGGTCCCTCTCGGGATGCCCCTCGATACAGAAGCTCCCGCAGGCGACCCGGCTCGAGCGATACCGCCTCATAGTCGCGGCCAACGACCTGCTGAGCGACCCCCACAAGCGTCGCCTGTACGACCACCACGGCATCGGCTGGACCGACGACCGGCGGCCGCGCGATCTCGCCGACGCGGACCGGGCGTGGAGGGACCGGCCCGGGAACGCGTCCCGGAACGCGACCTGGGAGGACTGGGAGCGCTGGCGGCGCGAGAGGGATGGCAAGCCCGGCGACGGCGCGGGCGGGCAGACGTACATGAGCAACGGCGTGTTTGCCACGCTCGTGGTGTGCATGTGCATGGTCGGCGCGCTGGCACAGATGAGC